ACATGAAAGGAAAAAATGACGGAGGCGCTGTCAAGCATCTCAAAAGATGAATTTAGACAATGTTTTGAAAAATGGAATAAAAGACTAGACAAGTGTATTAGTGTAAGTGGAGAGTACTTTGAAGGGGATTGAAGGTTTGTGCTTAAAATTTGAATAAATAAGTTTAAAAAAAATAAGTTTGGTTTCTTTTGGGTACCCCCTCGTAATTTGTTGCATTATAGATGGAAAAAGAGAAAGGCAATTAAAGATACATCAGTGGAACAGGATGCTGAAATATAATATTACTTTGAGCAAACATTTTAATATTTTTTAATGAATTGTATTGGTAGGATGGCTAGCACCAGTTCCTGACAACAGGCACAAGGCATTTTGTAAATACTGTAAGAAGGAATTCCGTGCCCATCGTACAGACCTCCGCACACATGCTCGTTCAAGGAAACATCAGAAGGCAGGAGATATGTATTTCAGTGATTCAAAAAAGGTATTAAAGCTTCTATGCAAGATTTTGAATCTTCCACAGTAAATAAATGCAGTGAAGTCCTCTTGGGCAGACATGTTGTGTCAACATCACAGTGAATCACCTCTGTGGTCTGGTGGTCATCATTCCTGCCTACAGATCCAGAGGCCCAGGTTTGATTCCTGGCACTGCAAGATTTTTAGGGCCTCACTAGAGCTCAAGTGGTTAGTTGCAGACTTCCGATTGCGGCGGCCCATGTTTGATCCTGGGTCTGGTCAAGTAGGATTTGTGGTGGACAAAGTGGCGCTGGGCAGGTTTTCTCCGAGTACTTCGGTTTCCCCTGCCAATCTTCATTCCACCAATTGCACCACAATCACCCTCACCTATCATCTTGGGCTGGTACGATAGGCCAGAAGTGGTTGCAGTACAAGGAACTTAGTCCCACCCCACTAGCAATAAAAAATAACATCACAATGGCCCAGACTTCATCCTAGGTTAGGTCATGTGGCATGTGAGATGGCACATACTTCAGTTTCCCATACCAATTTTCATTCCATGAACCATTCTATGTTTATTAATCATCTTATGATCATCACTGTGTATTCTTGATACTAACAGTATACGAGGGGGGACCCAAAAATAACCAGAATTTATTTTTGTTATTTTTTATTTTTGCCTGTATATTAGTACCCTTCACATTCACATCAAAAAAACAAATCAACGTTGTTTTCACATTGGATCGCACTTGACGCACTTTCTTCGGTTGTGGTGAAGTTGGAGTTTTCCACTGGCTTGATGATTGCTTTGATTCTGGATCATACCCATAGCACCAAGACTCATCGCCAGTCACAATTCTTTTAAGAAATTCTGGATCGTTCTGCACTTCACTCTTCAAGTTGCGGCAAACATTCACACGGTTTTCTCTTTGGTCATCTCCGAGCAAGCGAGGAACAAATTTTGCAGACACCCGTCTCATGTGCAAACCTTCGGTTAAAATTCGCTGGACCGTGCTCCATGAGATGTTCGTTTCCTCAGAAAGTTGGTCAATGGTCTTTCGACGATCTTCATCAATTGCACGTTTGATTTTGGCAATGTTTTCGTCATTTCTTCCTGTCGAAGGACGCCCGGGGCGTGGCATGTCTTCTGTTGACATGTTGCCAGATTTGAAACGGGAAAACCACTCGTAGACCTGTGATTTCCCCAAAGCATCATCATTAAAGGCTTGCCAAAGCATCCCAACAGTCTCGGCTGCAGTTTTCCCTAACAGAAAGCAAAATTTCACGCACACTCTTTGTTCCTTCTGGTCGGCCATCTCACTAATCGCCAAAGGGTTGAAACAGGAACGCACACAACAGAGCACCACAGACAAACCACTTAACTCAGACTGACGCCAGCTCACTGACAGTCGCGGGAGACCCCCAGCTAACACCACCTAGCAGCACAACTCGTAACTACAAAGCATGCGCGCGCAACAGGTCGGTTCCGGTTATTTTTGGGTCCCCCTTCGTAGTTAAGTAACCAACTATGTCATGTTACCTCATTGCATTAAAGCATATTTCTGTTGCTTCAGTTTGTTGAATTCAAACATGTTACTGTAAATAGTTCTTCCTCCTGTGTTCAGTTTCCCTGTGACACAAGAGTTCAGGCCCTACTGTGACAGTTCTTAGCTTGTGAGAACATTGAATGGTAGCTGCTGTTGGAATTTGTCAAATGGACAGCATCTGTAGAGACTGACATGCCGCATTAAGGTTCCTTCTCATGCAGTTAAGGGAGACCTAGGCATAGGCATCATGAAGATAAAATTAAAATGGATTTAAAAAACATTATATGGATCTATTTGGCATAGGAAGGGGTTCAGTGGTAGGTAGTAGTCTCCATTTCTTCTGAGATATAGTATTTTGTATGTTCATGAATAGTTTGGTGGGTCAGTGCTATATTTCATTGTATTTATTACACCCGGAAAGTTTCCTCTATGCTTAAGCATGCAGTTAACAGTTATCTGCCGATGTGATGAAAAGGAGCACTCATATAATTACACTTCGGTAAGTTCTGTATTTTTGGTGCTGCAGCCATGCATCTTCTTGTTTTTTTTGCAGGATGAAAATCCAGATATTAATTCACAGAACGTGGCAGACATTGACAGGAGTGATGTCAACAGCAGTGATGGCTGGGACGAAGGGGATGCCGTGAGTACAAAACTTTTTTTTAATGTTAGTGGGGTGGGACTAAGTCCCTTGTACTGCGGCCACTTCTGGCCTATTTTACCAGCCCCAGATGATAGGTGAGGGTGATTGTGGAGCAATTGGTGGAATGAAGATTGGCAGGAGAAACCGAAGTACTTTGAGAAAACCTGCCCCAGCACCACTTTGTCCACCACAAATCCCACTTGACGAGACCCCGGATCGAACCTGGGCCACCGCGATGGGAAGCCAGCAACCAACCACTTGAGCTATGGCGTGGCCGAGTACAAAACTTAATAACAGTGTTGTGGACGGCGTACTGTTTAATACTGCTTGCTTCAACATTAATTAATATTGCATCATGCCCACAGAGCGCACTTGTGTGTTTTGAATGATTTCCGTAATTAACAGAAATTATTTCCCTAACTTCATTAACCTGCTGGTTTTTGTAATGGAGACAATGAATTTCCTTGTGAGGCAGGAGCAAAATTCTAAAATATTTCAAGCTTCATAGTCTTAAATTACAGAACATAATCTTATTTACTTTTTTTATTTATTTTACAGAATGTTGCTGAAGTGGAAGATGTCCCTCCACCGTGTATGGGAACAATGGCTGTACGTAGTGACATCTATGCATTTTGTGAAGCTCTGTCTAGCTGTGTAATCTTTGAGATTACTCCGTTTTTGGATCTGTGTGACTGCAGTCAGATTCATAATGTGATAGTAGATCAATGTCTGTATTTAGGATTTTGCATGAGTGTTGTTATTAAGAATGCACTGTAGCTAGGTACATGAAATTTGACATGGCAATAGACCCTGAACTTTCAAATTTTGTGCATGTATTTTCTTTTTCTTATTTCTTAAAATTTACACACACTGACACTAAAGAACTTTCAGGTATCAGGTGAAGTTGTCCTTATGCTTTATGAATCCTTTTGACTGACACAGCCTGCAATAGAAATGCCAAGACTTCTCAGGGTTGAATACATTTTCAGAGAAAGACAACACTTACTCAGATGACCTTCAAGCAACAACAGGTATAGGTCATAAGAAAGCCTGTTCTTTCCTTTAAAATTCAGTATGTTACACTTAATGACCACTGTTAATACAAATATTATGGTGATGGATAATAATCTTAAAACAGTTGGTATCAGGGTAAGGTAATAACTTCTTCCCAAAATGAAATCCAGAACACCAATAAAATTAAGAGTAATGATGATAATTAACAATTGGCATTTTGAACACTGAGCTTTATTTGTAGAATTACTAAAATAATCTTCTGGGATCAGTTTGTTGATATTTTACAGTGTATGCAACTGATGAGTGCTGAAAACCAAACTGTTGTGTCTGGTGGTGTTTCAACCCAAGTCCTTGATCTGGTACGTGGTGTTCCAGTTAGTCGTATGGCCGTCACACTTTGGCTAGAGTGTGGGAACTCGTGGACACAGATAAGTGAAGGGTGAGATTTCAGATAGTAATGAATAACATATGTGTATACGAGGGGGGACCCAAAAATAACTGGAAACGACCTGTTGCGCACGCATGCTTTGTAGTTACGAGTTGTGCTGCTAGGTGGTGTTAGCTGGGGGTCTCCCGCGACTGTTAGTGAGCTGGCGTCAGTCTGAGTTAAGTGGTTTGTGTGTGGTGCTCTGTTGTGTGTGTTCCTGTTTCAACCCTTTGGCGATTAGTGAGATGGCCGACCAGAAGGGANTGCCGCGACTTGAAGAGTGAAGTGCAGTTTTCCCTAACAGAAATCAAAATTTCACGCACACTCTTTGTTCCTTCTGGTCGGCCATCTCACTAATCGCCAAAGGGTTGAAACAGGAACGCACACAACAGAGCACCACAGACAAACCACTTAACTCAGACTGACGCCAGCTCACTAACAGTCGCGGGAGACCCCCAGCTAACACCACCTAGCAGCACAACTCGTAACTACAAAGCATGCGCGTGCAACAGGTCATTTCCGGTTATTTTTGGGTCCCCCTTCGTATATATATATATATATATATATATATTGCATTTTTTTAGTTTATATTTCAGACATTTGTCTTAGTTACATATGATAAGCAGGTCTTGTGATAAGAGACTGTTAACTGCTATAAACTTATGCTAATTTTTTTTCAGTCAATCAGATGTATCGTATCAAGTAAAGAAATCCAGCATTTCAGACACGTGCCCTACTGCTGGTATATTAGTGACTTAGATCATTCCCCACATTAACCATATTGGTCTAGACACACTGTATCTCGGAAACATTGATTTTGCAGCTCAACTTTGATGCATGTGATTGTCCGAGAAGATTTCAGTGCATACATTTGCTATGAAAGCTGAAAATAATGCTGTCCACATTACCATCTGCACTGTACTTCAGAAAGAGGGACAACTCTTAAATACTGTTGTGTTCACAGTCAGTGTGTGCATGATTGTCAGACCACGTACACTCTTGCCAAAATAATGTACCTATCACATCTTCACATAGCACCATTTGATGCAAATTGTCATTCTGTCACATTTAATGTCTCAGTATGGTTGTAGGTGTCTTTCAGAACTTTCAAGTTCATAGCAAGCATATTAAGTGAAATCATGTTTTAAAAGTGTCCCTGATAGGCTACAGTGTAAGGGTAGACATTGAAGCATAATGTTGATATTTTGATGGACCCTGTGTGTAATTGTAGTAAAGGCCATTCAGAAATATCTAGTCAGCAGGGTGCTGCATACATAAAACGGCCAGGACTCCCAAGTGTTGAAGTTAATGTGCATGCAGAATTACAGATGCTGATGGACGCTGCACAAATTTACTACAGCTGAATGAAATAGTTGCTGGCCGGTACAAGATGCATTTTGAGGTCAAAAAGTATTTTACACTTGGCTTACATGATACATTCTACCCCTTCATTGAGGTGAGTGAGCATGAGCTTTGGACGTGTAATCTTTGTGTTCCTTGCACCTTCACTGCTGTGTGTGATATGGTTTAGTTGAACTAATCAGATGTGTATAGGATAAATTCATACAACTCTGTAGTGTTTTACTTCTCCTTAATGGAAGATGATTATATTCCACAGCATGGTATCTGATGATCAAAGCTCTTTGATATCGTGGTTCAGTTATACAGGCTAGGATTTCATCATCAGACAACGATACCACATTGTGTAATATATAACCATCTTCCATTAAGGAGAAGAAGTGTAATGACACATACCAAATTGGTTCTAGATCAGAACAAATATTGTACACCACTTTGTAAACAGACTTATTCTAATCATTTTTAGATGATTTAACAAATTAATGTACATCTTAATATTAGTTAAAAGATATAATATTTATATGTATGACATGGTAAGAGTAGTTTCCATATGTGTTGATAATATCCTTCTGAAGATAATTGATTTGACCAAAATATGTACAGGATGAAAAATTAAAAACATAACTTTTATTAAGTCACGCCGGATGGTGATTAAAAATCTTATGTATTATTATAGCCTGTTCGTATGAATGCCAAGATTGCCTTGGTCTCTCCGTCATTTTTGTTGTCCTAAGGATCAGAACGCCAGTTGTGGGAAAGCAGTCTGTCTCTTTCCATTCTTCCCAAGTGATCTGTCCAATTTTGTTTCTATTGAATTTGATTTGTTTCATTCTGGTCCATCACACTAACAGTATTATAAAAGATAAAACAATTCTGTCGAGTGTGACTGATGAAGTTTTTCTTATTTCAATTCTTAATGCCCTTACATGTTTCGGTCCTTAGAGACCAAACTAAAGTTTTTTAAAAAAAATTTAATATATCAAGACAGCCGCTGCAATTGTGAAAACTTTGGATTTTGTATCTATTTGTGCATTGTAAACATTGTATGTATATATACTTTAACATTCAGAACACCCATTGTAATAGTGGTTTCCAAACTGTATCAAAGTCCCTCTGATGATGGTCTCTAAGGAACAAAACATGTAAGGGCATTAAGAATTCAAATAAGAAAAACTTCACCAGTCACACTGGACGGAATTGTTTTATCTTTTATAATTTTGTTTCTATTATTTGTTATTTGAACTGTATCTGTATATTTCAGGCCTTCTGTTATGTCAGAATTTCTTTAGTTGTTTAGTGAAGCATAAGACTAGTAGTAGGTATCAAAAAATGTCTTTATTTTTGGAAACATTTTAGTTTCAAATCTAAATCTCACTGTCATAATAACCGTTGGTCATGTCATGATGATAATGTAGGAATGAGTCTGTATCAGTTGATATTTTTCTGTGCCAGAACTTCTTTTTAATTTTGCCATTTATGACACTAAGGGAAGGACATAGGCAGAAAGTATTTGTGAGTGGGGTGCTGAGGAAAATATTTGGACTATTGAGGGATGAAATAGGGCAGGGAAAATTGCATAATGAGGAGCTCCTGAACTTGTACTGTTTGCCAAATATAATTATGATGACCAACGAAAGGAGGATGAGATGAGCATGGAATGTAGCACATGTGGGCAAATGCATATAGGGTTTTGGTGGGAAAATCAGAAGGAAAGAGACCAGTAGAAAGACCTAGACATAGGTGGGAAGATAATATTAAGCTGGATCTTAGACAGGTAGGATGGTATGATATGGACTAGTTAGTTAGTTATTGGAGAGGGTGGGTTTCCCCATGCACTTAGACCAGTATTGGTCCATTGTGTTTCCCTCTGTGATATTCTACCAGTCTCTATACCCTACCGATATTGGTGTGTACCATCAGTCCCGACCGAGCCAGCGAGTTCGGCCTCCACTGGCTTGGCGGTATCTATAATGCTTCCCCCATCTATCAGAGGCTTTAGAGACTACTGTTGGGCAGGAAACGTCCTTGAATTTGGCTCAGTGTCTTCCTTTGGAGATATGAGGTTCTTTTACATGCTGTAAAGCTACAACACGGGACACACGGCTTAAAGTCCTTCCCGGAGGACTTGTTCCCTGAATTTTTCCGCCCTTAAAAATTCGACGACCTCCGCCGGGTTTGAACCCGTGTACCACGAGTCATGAGGTGGGAACGTTACCTCTAGACTATGGAGGCCGCTATGGTATGGACTAGGTTAAGCTGGCTGAGGGTAGGGACCAGTGGAGCGCTGTTCCGAACACCACGATGAACATTCGGGTTTCATAATATGTTGGGAAATGTCTGAGTAGCTGAGTGACTGGTTGATTTTCAAGAAGGGCTCAGATCCATGTAGTTAGTTATTGTTTCTCTGTAACTTTATCATTTTCGTTAATTGGTTCTGAAGTCATGTTTCAGAATGAAGCAAATAAAACCAAATATTCATTCTAAAACTGTTTAATATACGATGGGGTACCCGAAAGAAACCGAACTAATTTTTTGTGGGCAGAGCTTTTGTAGTACTGCGTTTTGCCGCTATGAGCGCATAGAGCTAACATTCCTGAGTCGATAAGCCGACTACCGTTGCTTCAGAAGGTAAGGACTAGTTTCAGCAGAGTTTATAGTGACAACTGTTTTGTGTGATCGTCATTTTTGCAATGGCTATTTTCGTGAACAGCGTGTGGCGGTGAAATTCTGCTTTTTGCTCAGGAAAAGTGGAACAGAAACTCTTGAAATGTTAAAAACGGTGTACAAGGACAATGCTATGGGGAAAACTCAAGTGTTTGAGTGGTTTCCCCATTTCAAAAATGGTGAAATGTCAATTGATGACAGACCTCGTTCTGGTCGTCCTTCCACGGCCTGAACACATGAAAATGTTGAAAAAAAATCGTGAAATCATCAAGGAAGATCGACGACGGACCATTGAAGAAATTGTGGAGCTGTCGGGAGTGACTTGGAGCTCAGCGGCCAGATTTGTGGCAGTCGGGTAACTGGTTTTTCCATCATGTCAATGCCCCTGCTCACACAGCCCTGTCTGTACGACAATTCTTGACCAAAAATGGTATGACCCCTGTTCCTCACCCTCCATACTCACCCGACCTTGCCTCGTGCGACTTTTTTTTCTTTCCTCGAATGAAAAAACATGAAAGGAAAAAATGATGGCGGTGCTGTCAAGCATCTCAAAAGATGAATTTAGACAATGTTTTGAAAAATGGAATAAAAGGCTAGACAAGTGTATTAGTGTAAGTGGAGAGTACTTTGAAGGGGATTGAAGGTTTGTGCTTAAAATTTGAATAAATAAGTTAAAAAAAAAAGTTCGGTTTCTTTTGGGTACCCCCTTATATTTCTGTTTTTACGCATAGCTCAGAATCATAAATTATACATGGGTATGTCTTATAAATATGGTCACTCACTTGCCTGAGAGGGATTGATGTTGTGAGCTCGTTAGCTGAAATTCACAGTGGTCATTTACATTAACAGACTTTATGTAATTTTTTCTGATTTTTTAAAATAAATGTTGAGGCTATGTGGTAGCAAATTTGTGGTTTCATAGGTAAGACCTGACAATTTTTAGACCCAGCATATTTCTATACAAGATATGTCCCTGTGATGCATTTATTGTGTTCCCAAGGAGAGGCTGCATAACTCAAGAATTTTTCCTACTACTTTCATTTCACTGCCTATAGTTTTCATTGAAAAAAATGTAACTCAATTGACTTTGATGCCATTCATTTTATGAATCTTCTCTTACCCTTTTTAAAGGCAGACAATGTCATTCTTTTGTCTTTAGTAACAAAATAAAATTTACAAAAAAAAAAAAAAAAAAAAAAAAGGGAATTGAAGAAACTGAAAATTGTGTAAGTTGAAGACTACCTGTACTGCATCTGTTGTCAAGTAAGTAAATTATTCTGTTACTGCCATCAACAGCTAACAACTGAGCTGTGTGCATTGCTTAATGTACCCCATCAAGAACTTTCTTTTATGAAGAGAGATCTACAAGTAATTCAGTCCAAATTCTTTTAGGTTACTTTCGATGTATCTGACCCACTTGAGCAGTACCATGTTCCATTACTTCTCAGCCCATTTGGATATATGGTGTATCGAGGAAGATAATTCACTGTCATCTCAATACTTTGAAACTTGTTCACTGTTCCCACCAGTGCAGGTGAGTTTCATGCAAGGTCCATTAATTTCTGTTGTGTGAAAACATGGGCTGTAAATCCTCTGCTCCTATGGGCACTGGCAGCCAGATTTTGACTTGGGAATAATGGTATTTACATTAAAAAGAATGCAATGTTAGGCATGCTGTACCTTGTGAAAGGTAAGTTTCAGAAACTGTTTGCTTTCTAATGAATTCCAAACTTACTTCCCTGCATCATAAATAAGTGTAGCTGCTGCTGTGTTCTGATGACCATCAGTTTTCTATATTTTGGTTTTCCTTAAATAATTATGCTCAAGGTAACAATCCCATTTTCATAACCATTCCATATTACTTTCCTCATTAGCATCGTAGGAAAAAATATGGATTGTGAACTGAGTAGTTGGTACCACAGATGTGTAACACTTTTTTCTTTATTTGTTCCATAAGTTCACAATTGTATCCAGTTGATAAACTTCCCGTTTTCTTTGTGAACAGGTCACACCAGAGCTGTATATACATATGTATACTGCATTGCAAACTCCATTCCTCACTTCTGAGAAAGTATGACAACAGCACTGATGATCATACATGCATCTTTAAGTCTTCCCGGGCTGTGTATACAGATTTGTATGTGGTAAATGAAAAAAGAAAATACCTACAGAGTGATATGAGATTCCATACTTTTACCTTTTAGTGTACATCATTGTGTCTCATATACAGCAGAATCTGTCCGTTACAGTAGTGGAAGGTTAGGCATTTATGAATGTATTATGTGCAAGACCTTCATTTTAGTCAGAAGTCTGTGTTCTGTAAAGCTAATAGTTGCATATTTATTTGTTAGATATCTCTTCAGATATGTGCAAAAAGGGGAATACAGTGGACCCTTGAACTTCGAATGGTTTTATGTTTGAACTTGAAACTCGAACAAAGAATCATGTGGTCGCCTTCTCTCTCTCTCTCTCTGCTTGGTCACGCGCGCAGTTGCTCGGTCCTCCTGTGACTGGTTCAATGGGCATCTCACAAATTTCTGTTTTTTTAAGTGTTTTATTTATTTCTTTGGGTTATTTTTATATTATATTTAATAATATCAACTCATAATGGCACAAAAGAAAGTTACTAGAGGTGAAAAGTCTAAGAGAAAAATTGTAATTTCTACTGCAGCTAGTGTGGGGTGGAGTCTGGCTGGGTCCACTCGGCACAGCGGCCCCTGATTGGCCTATTGTACCTGCCCCAGGTGATTATGATGATGGAGAATTTGGTGGAATGAAGATTGGCAGGGGAAACCGAAGTGCTCAGAGATCAATTGAATTTACAGTTAAAATTTGATGTTTAGATGGTAAAAGTCGATCTGTCTCCTGGATTGGATTGTGTTCAAAATTTGAGGTTCCACTGTAGTCTATTATGATGCATGTTATGTCAACACTACAAGTGCCACTGACACAGTGCTGCACTCTATTCTGCCAGGGTAAACAAAATGCACCTTTACTTTGACACTATATGTATCCTGGCTAAAGGTTCAATCTGATGGACCCAACACAGTAAGTTTGATTCTGTCACCTGATGGAAGCAGAGCCATGTTCATGAACATTGTTCTTTTACCTGAAAATAATAGTGGAAAATGCTGACATCTGTGTCAGTCTGTGGTAAAGAGTTTGAGGTATATTTGTTTCTGTGAGTATTTTAATGGAAAGATAATTTATGTTCAAATTATTCTTTTAAAATGCAAAATGATTGGCATGACAGCAGTTGTAACAGAAAATGAGAATATGGTGCAGTAATCAGTTTCTGGACATACTGGTTTTCAGGGCCATGAAGGCACAGTGCTAAGGGATATGTCAGAGGTGCCCAAAGACACATCTTAAGCGTGTAAAATGGCAAAGTCATCCCCGTAACAGACCATGGAGGCCCATAGGGTTGTGAGACGTTGAGGGTCCCACATATTCTAGACAATCGGCTCACAGATGGCGGTGAGGTAAGCCTTACACGCCGGCCACCCTTTAACTCCCAGCAAGATTCCTGGTACTCATTTCTCTTAGAGGCTGAGTCGACCCCAGGGCCATAGTGTGGCTGGAAGGATTAGGTCAATTGAAAAAATCCACCTCATCGGGACTCAAACCTGCGACCTTCCAGCTTGTAGCATAGTGCCTCAACCAGCTACGCTACCGCACCCCCTTCTTAAGTGTGTACAGAACAGAAAAAAAGGATCAGAATATATTATCGTTCTTGTTATATAATTTTTTGCACTGAAGATTTTACTCTTTTCCCCCCTCCCCCCAATGTGATGCTGGGTAATCAGGTAGGATGGGGTCCCTTTCCCTTCCTCCTGACCTTCCTTCTGCTTATTCTTGGGTGAAGTAAAGTTTTTTCTTGTTTACCTGATCTTTTGTTCACTTTCTTATTTGTGGTTCATTCTTGCTGTCTTTGTCATTGAGAAAACAGTCCTCTGGAGGGCCATTGAGTCATTCAGCCCTGACCCCAATTTTCCCTCCCTTGTATCATTGTTTTCACCCCAAGGGGTCACTCCTACCCTGGGAGTGCGGACAGCAAGGTCCTCTGAGACACTGGCATCTCTGTACCAGACTACATGATGTCACACCCCAGAAGACTGCAATCTTAATATTGTCATAAATGTTGCAGTTTGGTAACTGAAAGCTTGGCACTTACAGATTAGTCTTCTGTGTGCACATTTTTGGTTTGGTAAGTGTAATAGAGAAGACCATAATGGAAGCAGAGAGAAAGGACTTGTATATAATTACTCACTTTATACAAAAGTGTAATGTAATGTTAGCACCAATTGAAGGAAAAGAGGAACCTAACTTGTATGATATTCATGTAGATTGTATATATTGTAACATGTTGCGCAACGGAGAACCCCTCCCTACCCAGCAGCAACGTGGCAACTCAGGTCACAGGCGCGTGTCGCTAATGTAGCACTCCCTCCTACCCCCCCCCCTCCGCGGTGACGTAACGCTCAGTGGCGTACGACGGCGCGAGATATCAGCATTGCTAGGCTATACACCACGTCACTAGCAACAGCGCACGGCTATATAAGTGGACTGCACAGCAGCTACGAGAGAGTTCTACTGTAGCAGTCGGCGACGTCAGTTGAAACATAGCAGCCTGTGAGTGTGCGATAACTAAGAAGTCAGCGAGCGGAAGATTTATTGTGTGCTTTCAAGACTTTGTGAGTGCTGTAGTACAGTTATATCTGGAGTGTGTATTTCAGGGAGACTTGTATAGCTCCCGCGTTATTAATACTTGAAGACAGTGTTAAGAGATTTTGTTGTAGGGTTTGTAGACTGTGGAAACCTGTAACATTGTTATAATTAATGGTAGCCGTTACTTGTAGATTGTTGAATAAACCAGTTAACAATCTCTACGGCGTCTTCAGTAACCAGCAACATGTTACACTGGTGTCAGAAGTGGGATTAGGACTTACACACGTGACCAACGAGTTTCGAACTCAAGACACGTGAAAACTGGTGTCAGAATTTTTACGAACTTAAACACGCCTGACAAATAATTGGATTATTGTGCATCAAGTACTTTACTGCTACAAAATGGAGATGCAGCAGATGATGGAACTTCTGCTACTCCTACCCTGGGAGTGCGGACAGCAAGGTCCTCTGAGACACTGGCATCTCTGTACCAGACTACATGATGTCACACCCCAGAAGACTGCAATCTTAATATTGTCATAAATGCTGCAGTTTGGTAACTGAAAGCTTGGCACTTACAGATTAGTCTTCTGTGTACACATTTTTGGTTTGGTAAGTGTAATAGAGAAGACCATAATGGAAGCAGAGAGAAAGGACTTGTATATAATTACTCACTTTATACAAAAGTGTAATGTAATGTTAGCACCAATTGAAGGAAAAGAGGAACCTAACTTGTATGATATTCATGTAGATTGTATATATATTTTTAATACATCTGAATCGTATTTTATGTTGACTCTTTACTCTGTAATAAAATAATTTCTTCTAAGAATTGAACTGTGCAGCATGCTAATGTTACAGAGTCTTCGAAGTTTTGAATAATCCATTAGGATTATGATTCAGAGGTAGCATGTAAGGACACAGAAAACCAGTCTCTTACTAAGAACTTCTCCATCTTTGTTCATGTATATTCAGTAAAATACTGGCAGAAGAGCATTAAAATAATTTTAACTTTATAATGAACCAACTGATTTTGATTCCTTTTGAATACATTTTCAGTTGAGAAGCAGAAAAGTATGGCATACGTAGGTTGAGATGTAGTAGAAACAAAATGTTGGTAAAAAAATTAACAGAACAGATTAGTATTTTTTGCTGCCTAGTATATTATCACATAGAAATTAAAGGTGCTCAGTATAAAGCAATGAAAGTATCCGGTATTTCTACTAAATCAAAAGTTAGAAAGGTTTGTTGTCTATAACATTACTCCCTTAACTAGGAAACAGCCAGTAAGGATTGAAGAATACAGAATCATAGCCATTGAGATGAAATATATGAGACCAAAACATGCATAGAAAGACTACAAAATATGCCAAATTTTGGATGAACGAGAGACAATTTGCAGTGACAGAATGTCGAGCAAATATAGAAAGAAATGTATTTTTCGTGAACAAAGCAAAGATTAGAGCAGAACAAATTTGACAAATGAGGTCAGACTGATAACAACAGATGTCCCAAGTCATGAAAACCTTGATCATAATCGTGTCAATGCCAACCTAACAAAGGTACTGGATGCTGTTCACATTGTGAGTGCATGCAGGTTCTCATGGAGCTGAGCCCTTCTTGAGAAGCTGCCAATTGTGCAGCCACTTAAGAGCTTCCCAGCATTTTTTTGGAACCCAAAGGTTCATTACCAAGTTCACAAGAGCCCTCCACTGGTCCCTATCCTGAGCCAGATCAATCCAAACCATACCATCCTATCTCTCTAAGATCTATTTTAATATTGTCCACCCACCTACGTCTTCGTCTGAATATGTAGGTACATGGGTAATTATGATGCATTTTATCAGTGAGA